ATTTCCTAAAGTCTTGAATTCGAACACAACTTTAACAAAAATAAAGTTCTTCTTATTTTTTTTACAATACAGAAATTAAAAGACTAGCTAGTAATTTGGCAGCAAAAATATTTTCTACTCATGTGGTACTGTTTTGAGCCATATTTATTGACTTTGTTTTTTAATCTACAGCAAAATTGTTTCCAAAAAATTTTACAAAAATAGTGCAATGAAAGTTGTTAAACAGAAGAAAGGATTAATGTTTTTATCAGTCATTATTTCGTCATAAATTAGATTTAAAAGTTTAAAACTGTGTTTTTTTGAGCTAAATTGGTAAACAACAATAAGCATTTCTTATTGGTACTTTGTTGCAATCTTTTCAATGATACTTATTTAGACAGCTGACTGGAAAGTACATTCTTTTTTTTATTTTACTGTGCTGTAAAAATGTTTAAACATTACAAAAAAAAATTTTTTTTTTGATTAGCAGGAAAAATTTCACTTACTAAATATATAGTTTCTTTCATGAATCTGGCGAGTGAATTTACTGATTATTGGTGTTATATATGTAACAAGAAGTTTATGTTTCAGATATAAATTATTTGGTGTTGACTGAAAAGGCAACTCTAAAGAAATAACTGTAAAAAAAGTGAAAACAATGATGAGTAGCATAGCACCAGCCTTTTAACAAAAAAAAAAAAGGTAAATTAATGTAAAAAAGACAGCTGAGGTATAGCCATTTATAAAGTAACTGCACCTTTTTTGATCTACTATTAACTACCAATTCAACTTTTTTATTTGTTGCTGAAATATGATTCTTTTATAAAAATTGTACTTCTCGTTTGTTTTTTCAGCTTTGAAGAGTTGCGTTATTAGCAGCAACATTTTACAGCTTTTCTTTCACCTTTATAAGCCACTTACCGTCGATCTATCGTTTTGGCTGTCACTGTGATTTTCACTGTCTAAAATCTGAAATTAGCGATAACAGGATACTAACAAGGTATTTGTAAGACTTCTGCAGCAGTTCAAATGATTCGGCTATAAACAACAGTTACTGCTGCAAAATGATTAATGGCATGTTGAAAAATTTAGTGAAATAGTGTGAATTATGTGCACATGTTTATTAATTGGCAGTAATACTGTAAGTAACCGGTTTTATATACTACTAAAAATCATTTTTAAACCTGGTTTTTTTTATTTATTCAAATTTTTTTGAAAAGATGAAATAATTGTTTTTTATGAGGACAAATTTGACGTATCCATATTGGTTGTCCAAATAGAAATTCATTTGCCAATAGCAACAATAAGCTGCTTAAACAAATATTCGAGAAACATGAAATATGTATACTGAAAAACATGAAATATACATGCACAATTGTAATCAAAAAAAGTGGCTCAGTGATTGAATGCTTGTGAAAAAAGTTTTACCACAGTTTCATAGTTCCCAGTAATTGATCTAATTATTCAACTGTACCTTTCTCTATATATTGAAATAAAGTATCATCTGCGCTAAGTTACGAGATCAATAAAAGCTTTGAAAAAACTGTAAAAAGAAAGATGTCCAGTCATTAAAGTGAGGAAAAAGCTGATTAGTATACTTCAGCAATACAGACATAAAATTAAGATGCTTATCAAAAACAAATCATTCATAAAATGCCTTAGTAATTTTTTTTTGAAGGTATCTGTGTTTCATAAAATAGCATAATTCGGTACCATTTTTGTTGTACAGTTTTTCAGTTACTGCAACTATGGTTCATTTACAACAATTAAGATGTTGTACATTTCATAGCAACTTATGCTTTACTATTAAGGTATATGATACAACAAGTTGTTGGCTAAGTATTGAAGACTTATTACTTACTGACACCAAAAAAAAAACAAAAAGGAAAACAACAACAACAATAATACCTATTTGTAACCATATAGTTTTGCTAATACAAAAATGAAACCGAATACAATAATAACTTTGTATCAGTAATCTGCCCACAGAATTGGTATACAACAAAACAACGACAAAGACCATTTGTGAATATAAGACACATGATATGTTCTTATTCAGCAGTGTTTAGTTTTAGATAAATGATAATTTACAAGAACTTTAGCATCTCGAATTTTTACTAATCAGATATGAATTTGCTTGTTTTGTCACTGATCATTGATAAAACAAATTTTTGCAGTTTAAAACGATACATTTACAAACTTTTAATTGCAGAAATGAAATGTTGGTAAATACTTTTCACGAAAAAAAAAATCACTTTTTTTAGAGAGGGCTTTCACTGGCTGAAAGAAATTGGGTGATAAAAAAACAGAAATTTTTGGCAAGGTAACTCGTGTTAAATTTGAGCACAGTACTATATACAAAAATAATGAATTTTTTGAGATCCCGTATATTTCAAACAGCAAAAGACACGTAATTCCGCCTGATCAACGGCGTAAGTTCGTTGCTTGTTTCTCGTTCACACAACGAATCCATCACTTCAATAGTTTTTGACTGCCCGACACCTGAAAAATATCTTTTCAAACATTGATGAACTATTATTATTATTATTAGTAAATATTCCTGTTAAATTCTGTTGCTCTTTCTAAGTGTTTTTTTGTTTTTCAAAAGAGTCATTTTCAAATAATACTGCAGTAATGTGTTAACACTAACTCAAATTCGAGTGCTCAAAACTTCAGCAACTTTTTTTGGATATTAAGATTGTTTTTATAAAAGATTCAGAAAGGTAATGATAAAGTAATATAACTTAAGGTAGTACGGCAGAACTCAAAGTAGTTACACAGAAAGCCTTTTTACTGTAAAGTTCTTTTTCTAAACAGAGTTTTTTTTTTAAAAAAAGCAGTAAATTTATTCATTTATCGCTAAAATATATCGCATACCGAAAGTTCTCGCTAACAAAAAACTTAGCTTTATGCACAAAAAAAGGAATTTTTACAAAACCGTCTTTCAAAAAAAAAAAAAAAAAATTTGTTCAACGACTAACACTTTAAATCAAACTTTTGCTTTAGTAAGTTTTTTAGCGAACTTCAGTCTTTCATTTATTTACTTTACTGAATGGTCCAATAAGCAAGAAAAAACCCAAAAAAATTTGACTTGAAAATGAAAACTAAAAGTTATAAGTATTCTTTCTTAGCACTACATTATTTCTTTAGTAGTAGAGCATAGAAGAAATAAGTTATTAACAGAAACTGTTTACATCGTGGTTTGAACTCAATTTGATCCGTTTTTATAAATAATGCTCTAGAAAGAGGAGATCGTTGACCATCCCGAAAACACGCTGTTGCACAAAACATGTAAAACCAATCAAATTTTAATTCTGGGAACACGACCCGTCGTCCATGTACCGTTATTTTTTCCCATTCTGATAACACTGAGTTCGGGTTGTCAGTATAGTACACAATATAATTCTAAAAAAAAAAAA